TATGTGTAGTAATAATCCTGACCTATAATAACTGTAGTAATAATCCTGATATATAATATATGTAGTAATACTCCTGACATATAATATATGTTGTAATACTCCTGACATATAATATCTGCAGTAATAATCCTGATATATAATATCTGTAGTAATAATCCTGATATATGATATCTGTAGTAATAATCCTGATATATAATATATGTTGTAATACTCCTGACATATAATATCTGCAGTAATAATCCTGATATATAATATCTGTAGAGAAACACCTGACATATAATATCTGTAGAGATACATCTGATATATAATATCTGTAGAGATACAACTGATATATAATATCTATAGAAATACACCTTGCATATAATATCTGTAGTAATAATCCTGACACATAATATCTGTATAAATACTCCTGACATATAATATCTGTAGTAATACTCCTGACATATAATATCTGTAGAGAAACACTTGACAATTATATCTGTAGAGATAAACCTGACATATAATATGTAGAAATACTCCTGACATATAATATCTGTAGAGATACACCTGATATATAATATATGTAGTATCACTTCTGTCATATAATATCTGTAGAGAAACACCTGACAATTGTATCTGTAGTAATACAACTTACATATTATATCGGTAGTAATAATCCTGACATATAATATGTGTAGTAATAATCCTGACATATAATATCTGTAGAGATACACCTGGCATATTATATCGGTAGTAATACTCCTGACATATATATGTACCGATACTCATGATATATATATATATATATATATATATATATATATATATATATATATTACTCCATAATATCGCTAGAGGCAGTCCTGACATATTGTGCTTATAATATTTAGAGATACAGAGATAAAGAATATACCTATACTAGAAACTTTAGTAGAGACTCTCTTTATAGATATGCAGATATACTGCCGATTTTAACCGGTAATGACCTTGAATATATTATACGTTTTATCAAACGAACTAACTTGGTATTTTTGTCTATACCTTTAAAAATTTTGCATTTCTTGAATAAGTATCTTAACAGGCAGGATAATGCGAAAGACGAGATGTACATGAAACACCCCTTTACAGCTATACAGCGTATTCATACTCTTTCTCCAATACCAGGTGTAATGAGTTTGTTGATGGTTTGTTCGCAGTTTTATCCCTGAAGAAACCTGAGGACAATCTTGATACCAGATATACATCTGTGCTGCAGTATTACCGTGTAAATCAAACAGCCTCGCGTCCGATTTTAGTAGTTTAGGCCAAACGTGAAATTAATTATGATGAGCACGGCAAGTCATGCTCGACTCTTGATTGGAAACATTGTAGAAAGCGTAGCAACTATTTTCTTCATTTAAAATGATCAAACTTTATAACTTTGTGGATGGAATCGAACGACCCCGTTTCGAAATTAACAACCTGGATATCAATATCGTTTAGGTATCGTCTAAACACAAATAAAGCTGTTGATGTTATCAACCTGAAAAAGCCTATATCTCCATTTACAATATCGTGAACAAGTAATGTAACCTTACACAACAGAAGGAAGACCATCTGTATCCCACATAAATGAAGTAGTTGTCCGGTCAACATGACATAAAAAATGGAAAACGATCTCTATTTACGATTGAGGTGTACAAAATTAATCATACCTTATAATAGGGTAAGTTGTAGTTTACTACAGCGTAAGTCCTACCTTACTACAGGGTAAATCATTGCTTTAGGGTAAGTTATACCTTAATACAGAGTAAATTATACCTTACTACAGGGTAAATTATACCTTACTACAGGGTAAATTATACCTTACTACAGGGTAAATTATATCTTACTACAGGGTAAATTACACCTTACTACAGGGTAAATTATATCTTACTACAGGGTAAATTATACCTTACTACAGGGTAAATTATATCTTACTACAGGGTAAATTATACCTTACTACAGGGTAAATTATATCTTACTACAGGGTAAATTATACCTTACTACAGGGTAAATTATATCTTACTACAGGGTAAATTATACCTTACTACAGGGTAAATTATACCTTACTACAGGGTACAGGGTAAATTACACCTTACTACAGGGTAAGGTATACCTTACTACAGGGTAAATTACACCTTACTACAGGGTAAATTATATCTTACTACAGGGTAAATTATACCTTACTACAGGGTAAAGTATACCTTACTACAGGGTAAATTATATCTTACTACAGGGTAAATTATACCTTACTACAGGGTAAGGTATACCTTACTACAGGGTAAATTATACCTTACTACAGGGTAAATTATATCTTACTACAGGGTAAATTATATCTTACTACAGGGTAAATTACACCTTACTACAGGGTAAATTATATCTTACTACAGGGTAAATTATACCTTACTACAGGGTAAATTATATCCTTACTACAGGGTAAATTACTACAGGGTAAATTATACCTTACTACAGGGTAAATTATACCTTACTACAGGGTAAATTATATCTTACTACCTTACTACAGGGTAAATTATACCTTACTACAGGGTAAATTATATCTTACTACAGGGTAAATTATACCTTACTACAGGGTAAATTATACCTTACTACAGGATAAATTATACCTTACTACAGGGTAAATTATACCTTACTACAGGGTAAATTATACCTTACTACAGGGTAAATTATACCTTACTACAGGGTAAATTACACCTTACTACAGGGTAAATTATACCTTACTACAGGGTGAGTAATACCTTACTACAGGGTAAAGTATACCCTACTACAGGGTGAGTAATACCTTACTACAGGGTAAGGTATACCTTACTACAGGGTAAGTTATACCTTACTACAGGGTAAGGTATACCTTACTACAGGGTAAATTATACCTTACTTCATGGTAAATTATGCCTTACTACAGGGTAAATTATACCTTACTACAGGGTAAAGTATACCTTACTACAGGGTATATTATACCTTACTACAGGGTAAATGATATTTTGCTTTTTTAATTCTCTCCTTTACAGATGTTGGCCATAAAAGCATGCTTACCTTTTGAGTACAAACGATGTGTCTACACTGCATTTTTATATTGAACATGACCAGTCAATTTAAGTCTACAATATCGCACGTACCACTTGACCCTCACCTCATTTTAAGTACGCATGCGTAAAGAGTGCTTCAATATCATATATATATGATATAATATATATAAATATTGATACATTTGAATTCGTGGTTCGAATACTTAAATATCATGAATATTTGTCTAGTGTTCTTTGTGGTGAACATAAGGCAACCGTTTTTATACCATTATTGTCACCATTTTTCCACGATGTTTTAAATAAAGGAGTCCGTCTTGTAAGGGAAACTATGTGTTTTGTTGGGGTTTTTTTGCCCCTTTAGTTGTGACATATTTTTCATACACGTATTTGATATACCCTGCTTTATGTTCAGCACAGAATATGATGACCATGGAAACATAACAAAGAAATTATATTTGAAAGGTGAGCGATCCCCTTACTTTGTCCACAGCGAAAAGTAATATATCACGCCGATTTCTTGCCCACATTTCGTGTTTGTATCGATGCGTGACAGACTGTGACCTCAATAGCTTAACTTCACAATTACTAGAATTACAATATAGCATTTAAAGTAAAACTAAGTATAATCTGGTAAACGGGTTTCATTGAATTATTGAATTTAGTCGCAGCCATGTGTAACTTTTCGGAAAACCACACTCGTGTCTTCCTTTGTTGCACCTCATATAAAATGCGTCTATGTACATGTGGATACAATAACTGGACCATCAGTGTGTCTTTTATCATTTTTTTCATTTCAACAAATTTTATTGACAAGATGTAAACGTCAAATTGGATTGAATAACAGGCAAAGCCTATGTAAATTCTCTCCAAACATTGAAGTGGCTATCATACCAAATTACTTCAGCTATTTAAGTCCGTATTTATCGACTCATAGAAATAGCAATCAAGCTCATTATGACTCCTTCCATTCAGTGTTGAAACATTGTAAAATAAAACGATCTCTCTTTAGAAAGAGTCAAATGAGGAAACAAAAAAATCAAGATAAAATTAGCAATGTTTTGGATACCAGTTAATAACTTATTTTAAGACTGAACAAAGTAAACAAATGTAAATTTCTTCTTCTAATACGGATGATACAATAGAATGAATCTGATTGTGTTATCTATTTCGTATTGCTATGTCTCGCTGATGCTGCCAGGGGCTTGCCATTAAGAAGAGGTGACACCAAAGGAACTCAAAATCGATCGCAACTCGTGTTAAAAACAGACACATTTATACATAGTAAAGACAACGAGATAACGATATATGATGTTCGATAATACGAAGAAAAATTTTGTTTTAGTGTATTCGATGTCACTCCAACTAGAGAGGAAGCAAAACGCCATGAGTAGTTCGAGAGGTTTATAAAATGAATTTTACTTTCCCTACTTTATTTTTGATTTCGACGTTTGAAGGTTCCTAATATTTTACAATCTTAGCTCAAAAATCAATAGTAAGTTTATTGTTTAGCTTTGGTGTATCTAATGATGTACTACGATAAGTAGAAAGGTACTCTTCACTTGTGCTCTCAATAGTTTTCTATGATTTCCAGGGAGCAGTTATATATGTCATCTATATTATCGTTTTCAAAATACCTCACATTATTGCGGCAAAAAGGTGAAGATGTGATACACTACATCTATTTAGAATCAGTCCACTTGAGATTTTCATGTCTGTTTTTCCCCTTAAACACAAAGCATTCATTGACACGTACGATTTTAGGTATTTTTTTATGAAATCATCCATTGAATATGTACTCTACATTATTTATTTTTAACGCTGAACAGCATATATACTGTACTGTATAAAGCACGTTTGTTTTGATACCATTGTACTAATGGCTTCCTCTGTAATGAGAAACAAACTGATACCATCATGTAATTTATACCACTTATATATGAGGATTAAAGAACTCACCTTCTTCCCATTCACATAGAAAGTCAGAGCAGTTGTTTCCTGTATAGAACAATCCATATCGGGTCCAGATTTAACATCCATACTGGTGTTGTCACTAACTTTGAATATTCTCAGTAACTGAACATAATATTTATAGCTTGCAAGGTGATGAAATTAAAGAATTACAAGTAAGTGACCTAAATTATCGTAACAAATAGCACAACCTGTAGTACAGAATGTGTCACCGAATGTGATGTTTACGACGAGTAACGTACCCGTTTAGTGATAAGAGATTCACTTGGATGGCTGCATAATGATCACGGGGCGTAAACAGTATACCAAGTTATAGTAGAGCTGATATGGATAAGTCTAGATAGAGGACCAACCACTATTTTTAGTCTTTTTCATTTATAATCTGACTTGGTAAGTGCTTATAAACGTTTGGAGGACAAAACAAGTTTGGATGTTTTTCATATATCAAAAAATTAGTATAATTACAACTAAAATGATAAAAACTCCTTGACTTCGCTTTATTTCTTTATTGATATTGTTTGCACTGACATTTATTTGTTTATTGTTTGTTTGTGAGGAATGAAATTGACACTTAATTCTCTGTATGACTTTACAGATATCATTTTCACTGATTGAGGTTGGTTTTTTTACTTGAATGGCAGTACGCTATCATTACTTTCTGATCGATAATATTTGATTGAAATTGTTTGCAGTAATTGAAAGTGTTCAGTTGATACTGTTTGCAACCGTCTTATGGAAGTTGTTTACAACAAATGACAGCACTGAAAATACATTTAATGCATCCATTGGTAACATGTCATTAGAATTGTGTTTATTGAACAACTGTACTCAATCAATATTGTATGGATTCTTCTCTTTATTAGAGGTTTTCGAATAATTCTGATATGCTTTGCATTCAGAAACCCCAACGAAGGGACTTGCTATTATTGTGCTGTTTCTTACTTGTTTTCATAATTGTCATTATCATTACAAGCTAACCGATAATAAATATTTATATCTAACTATATTAAAACTCTCAATATGCCTTAATACTGGGGTCCTGGGAACACAAAAAATAAACTTGCAAAAAAGCTAAATAGAAAATATCCCAGCTGGACTTTGTGCCCTCCAATCAAAGTCGAAAGGTTACTGTGGTTCCTTGGTTAAAACTATACAGTTACGGCACCATAAGTTTATCGACTGATTTTTTCCACAGTGCAGTAAGAAGGTAGGGACTTATAGATAATCCGATTGTAGCTTGCTACTAAAGATAAGTTTCTGACGTTATATGGTAGTAAACTATAGATTGATGCATCCGAGTCATTCAAAGAATTTGTTAACAAAATGGCGCTACTTGAGCAAACGTTTTTAAAAATGGGATTCCCTAGAGTATATTTCGGCAAGTAGAGTTTGTACAACGTCCTCTTGTTGTCTTACCATCTAATTCAGTTAAGATGTACTCAGAACAAGTGTTGTATAGTGGTTACGGTCAATAACATAAATATCAGTATTCTCATATAAATACTTATTTAATTATTATTCTGCTGTGTGTCTCCGTGGATATTGTAAGATACTATTCACTTTGCATACATGATCAGTATTATGTATAGTTACCTTCATTTTTCTACATCTGATTTCCAAGATGGCGGCCGCATGCTCTGGTGGCCGAAATCTTGTCTACGAATATCTTTTGTTATACATGATCAATCAGAATACAAAAAAATACAAAACGAGTGTCGACTTTTCATCCAAAATGGCAGCTAAACACGGACTTAAAATTTAAATATTGTGCGATTTCCATGTAAATTGGTTTGTTGGATGACTGACATTTTGGTCGCTGTTGTAGCCTCAGTTTAACATCTCAATAAAATGACCGCGATATTCTGGCCATTGCCGAAATATCATCCAAAATCTAAGGTATGTAAATTAGTCAACGGACATCGGTCACATTTCTAATCTCAGTTCACATTTCATTTTAAAATGGACGCCATTTTATCGCTTAATTGGTTGAATCAATCGTCCGACTTCCATGAAATTGGTAGGTAGATGTATGGGAAGAACTGTAGGGTTGGGGTGACTTCCGCTATTGCTCGCAATTACAATTTTAGTAATTATTGTATCAATTTATATTGTTGATTCTTTTTATTTATTAATATTCCTTGATTTATAGTGTTTATAATTACTTCATTTACCACAACATGACTACTCATTAGAGACTTTTCACAGATTTACCGATTGATATTATTTGATAGAATTTAGCATGTAATAATTGGTAAATCTTAATTGACAGTGTATGTTTGTTTACATTGTTTTCCCTGACAGACAACGTCTTATTGATATTGTTTCCCCTGGCAGACAACGTCTTATTGATATTGTTTTCCCTGATTGAGAATGCCTTAGTCATAGTTTTCCCTGATTGAGAATGCCTTAGTCATAGTTTTCCCTGATTGAGAATGCCTTAGTGATTGTTTTCCCTGATTGAGAATACCTTAGTGATAGTTTTCCCTGATTGAGAATGCCTTAGTGATAGTTTTCCCTGATTGAGAATGCCTTAGTGATAGTTTTCCCTGATTGAGAATGCCTTAGTGATAGTTTTCCCTGATTGAGAATACCTTAGTATTAGTTTTCCCTGAATGAGAATGCCTTATTGTTATTGTTTTCCCTGATTGGTTTGGCTTAATTGATATTGTTTCAAGGTATTTTCCCCTTTGTTTTATACAGATGTTCCGTGTAAATCATGTGTTTTATTAGAAGTATTTTCATTCATTTCTATCGTTTTCTTGAATTGTTTCAACCGTCTGACATTTCTTAAATAATTACTAACTCTAATAGAGGGTTTCATTAATTGCTTTTGGTCTGATTTGTAGTGCTTTATTGATATTGATTCAAATAATCGATATTTTTTATTGATCTATTCACGTCATTTCCGGAAATCGAACCCCGGACGTCAAGCGGAAAAACGAATAAGTTATCACTGTGTCACCCGACTATCCCTGTTGTGTTTTGAAAAGTGCACAATGTGATTATCTCATAGGATAAATTTCCAGTATTACCAATTACTAGTTATAAATCTTAATGTTAAAAATATGTTATACCAAACTTCCATCTATTATTGCTTTACACGTTAGTGTAGTTGTTGATGAATTGAAAAACAGTAATTTTGATAGAATTCTCAAACATAAGCCGCTACCGTTTCCGCATATGTATGAACGTGCATGTAATTAGATTTTTTAAAGATTGTTTTTGTATTTGAAAAAAACACAAGAGAAAATTACGCACACGGATGTTTTTGTTCTTTTAACATAGTGCAAAATACCCCAACCCAATATGTCCCTTTGATATAGTGCACCACATCCCAACCCTTAAGATGTTCCTTTAAGATAGTTTAAACACATCCTTTTGGTATAGAGCACTGTACCCCGAAGTTTAAGCAATTCCTTTAAAAAAAATGTGCAATTTTCCGAGTTCAAACACGTCCCTGTGACAAAGTGCACTATACCCCGAGTCTAAACACATCCCTGTGACATAGTGCACTATACCCTGAATCTAAACACGTCCCTGTGACATAGTGCACTATACCTCGAGTCTCAACATGTTTCCGTGACATAGTGCACTAAACCCCGAGTCTAAACACGTCCCTGTGTCATAGTGCACTATACCCTGAGTCTAAACACGTCCCTGTGACATAGTGCACTATACCTCGAGTCTCAACTCATCCCCGTGACATAGTGCAAGATAACCTGAGTCTGAACACGTCCGTGACATAGTGCACTATACCCTGAGTTTAAACACGTCCCTTTGACATAGTGCACTATACCCTGAGTCTAAAAACGTCCGTGACATAGTGCATTATACCCCGAGTCTCAACTCATCCCCGTGACATAGTGCAAGATAACCTGAGTCTGAACACGTCCGTGACATAGTGCACTATACCCTGACGCCCTTTGACATAGTGCACTATACCCTGAGTCTAAAAACGTCCGTGACATAGTGCATTATACCCCGAGTCTCAACACGCCCTTGACATAGTGCACTATTCCCGGATCTCAACATGTCCGTGATATAGTGCACTATACCCTGAGTCTGAACACGTCCTTGACATAGTGCAAGATAACCTGAGTCTAAACACGTCCCCGTGACATAGTACAATATCACCTGAGTCTAAACACGTCCGTTACATAGTGCACTATACCCTGAATCTTAACACGTCCCTTTGACATAGTGCACTATACCCCGAGTCTCAACACGTCCCTGTGACATAGTGCACTATAACCTGAGTCTAAACACGTCCCTGTGACATAGTGCAATATAACCTGAGTCTCAACACGTCCGTGACATAGTGCAATATAACCTGAGTCTCAACACGTCCCTGTGACATAGTGCACTATACCCTGATTCTCAACACGTCCGTGACATAGTGCAATATAACCTGAGTCTAAACTAAATTTGATAGAAAATTTCATGTACTCGGAACAATTCAAAATTAAATAACTTATTCTAAATCGCATAGAAAATGCCGTCGACACGAAATTATAAAACATTTTATCTTATTTCATTTGTTTTCAACTTCGGTTATATAAATATTTGCTTTATTTAATTGATTTTGAGTTTCAAATACGACTTAGTTTTGTAGTCATTTTTTCTCTATTCTGTCATAAACAAATGAATCTCGTTGTATTTCAACTGTACTTCATGACAAATGCTTTATATTATCAAAAATCATTTTTGTCTTTGCATAAACACCAACGATAATTTAAAGTTACGATTGTAATTGTACTTACTAATGGCGTAATAATCAAGTTTAGAATTTTTCCAAGTAGATACGACCGCTAAATCGATAGCAATTTCATCAGAAGGTCATTTGTCATTCAAACGCAAATTGGAGTTATCATAATGGGAATTATGGCATCTTGGTAAAGACCTGAAAACCGCAAATACGTTTTAGGGGCCAATGAATCAAACAAAAATTGCATGAAATCGAGAACTTGTAAATATAACTGTTGGACGCGGACTCGGACTGTACCGTTTGAACAACACTTATTTTAGGTCTAAATTGACATAACGATGACGCTGAATATCAATAAACTGTTCAAATTATAACGGTTTTCGCCACGCATATTTTGTCAGATCAAAAAATCAAAATTCATTAGGGCATTCATTGGGTGCGTGGGGGATAACGTAGTTGAATGAACTAGTAAACAAGTTGTACGAACGATAAAAAAAACTTCGAACTAGATAAAACTTCGAAAGTGGTACAAATAGACTTGCTAACATAAATTTGTTTTTTTTTTATCATGGAAAACATCTTTCGGGTAATCAACTATTTAAAAAAGCAAGAAAATAGAAAGTAGCCCAGAGCTTCAAGTCATTTCTTCGGCGTTGTATTTCAACGAAAAGTTATTACCAACTTCATTAAATTTTATTAGATTCTTAGAATTTTTTTGATGTCCTAAGATGAAAAAAATTCCTGTGATATAATTGAAATAGGCCTAGACTGTCCACAACTTGTGAGGTAAATTTAACGCTTATGTTGTATTACTCTCAGATAATTGAATTTTGTGAAATGTGACTGGATACAGAAAAATGTGTAAACAAATGAATCCGGCCTTGATATATACGACCAGGTGATAATATGCCTTGGATGTTGACCTACTTCTTTGAGCTAATCAGACATAATCTGAACGTGTGTAGACTTGCGTACAAAACGCGGGGTACGGTAAAAATAGGGACTAACGCAACAGCGTCTCTGTTAAAACGATATAACCACAACAGAGAATGTTTCAGAAATTTTCCGGAATTTTGTACTGTGAGGAGGTGAAAGTTGACAACGTCCGAGAAAATCGTCTTGTTTCCAACCAGTCCGTTTTTTGTGTACAGTCGAAACAAAATCCGACTCAAAATAAGAATTTATAGACATGATTTCAAACAATATGGCTATAAATCACAAGTCAATTTCGTAGTCAATACAAACCCAAATATTTGGGATTTGAAAAGGAGCTCGTTGACTCTAGTCAAGAAGGGTGTTAATTCTAACAAGTTACATTTGAGTATACCTGGAGAGAGATTAAGTTGTCTAATTTAAACTATATACCATTATACCCCACGCAGTTTGTGTAGAAGTACTATGTATGTAAGGTTTGAGATGGGATGGACGAGGGGATGAAACTGGGCGGGGGGGGGGGACTTGTAAAGTGTTTATATGATTTGTATGTTTGTGTGTTGTGTTTAATTGTATGAGAGTTCAGATTTCGAGTTTAAGACCCTATAATCAGTGTTGAATAAACAGTTCTGTATATTTATTATCGAGAACTGTTAGTGAACCATAATATATCATTTCTAAAAAAAATATCAAGGTTATTATATTAGTAAAATCTCGTATTTTGTATATAGCAAAATAGGAAGTTATATCCAAAAACCTTATCTTCAGAAATACATGTTGCCTTAGGTAATTATGTCAAGTAACCAGGAATAAAAGACATCAGTATTACATCATTAATCTTATATTATATGTTTGATAAGTTAGACATGTTCAGTCTGGCTACCTTGATCATTCATCATTTTATGGATCACTCATCCTTGTTAGAAATGGTGTATAAACCCTTTCTGTATCTTAACACTGAGTCGGTCTCCAGATACAGACAGAGATAGCACCCGCTGGTATGTATCTCAAAACATGCACCATTAAACAAGAACACTAAACTTATGGACTTCATCTTTCTTTTATATTTCAACAAATTGTTACCGTGACTTTTTTAATATTTCAACATTTATCCCCATCGCCCTACCTAGCAGTGTTCCATATGCTACAAGCCAGGGTACAAGACACGAATCTGACTGTAAACCAGTCCATGACCGTTGTACCCGGAAGTTCCCGTTATGTTTGATCTGTACTGGCCGTAGGGTCTTATATGTGGACTTTGTGTATTTTCCTCCTTATTTAATCGTTTGTTTTAATAGATACTTGAAGGAGCGTGTTTACTTGTGTGTGCTGCTTAATTCATTTGTATTGTTTCATGTAATATTACAAATGTGAATGCTGTGGTTGGAGGACACCACATACCTCATGAGGTGTCAATATGCACCAATGAATGAGAGGGGCAGTTATAATCCTCTCTGATACAGTCTCCCTGGGTATCCTGGGGATCATAACTGTTGTGTATGATGTTCTGTAGGTTTCTGATGTTTGGAGAGTTGTCTCCCTTTTACCTTTCTGTTTGCCGTTTATATTTTGTCTACGTAGTCAATTTTTCTTAAGAATTCGAGGAGCAATCTATGCACTAGTCTTTCATTTTCACGTGATTTTAAACCTTGATGGATGTATATCGGATTTTTATTCTTTTAAATTCGGCAATTATATCTTTTCGTTCATGATCGGATTTATTGCAATATAGAAAAATGTTATGTCTCTTCTGTTCTACAATTCGTACAGTCTGGTGAGATATTTTGAACCATTATACTGTTGTCAATTTTTAATTTTGTTCTTCCTAATAATAGTATCTTATTTATTTCGTCCTAAAGCGTTTGATTTAGAATTTGGTTTATCTATAATTTGCGTTAGGTTATTGGATCTTTCCAATTTTCCAAGTTTCTGACCATTTATTATTGATTTGTTGATTGATAATAGAATGTACTTCTGTCTGAAATATTTTTTATCTTATATTCTATTGTATTTTTCCGAGGAGCTTTTCTGGCTAGATCATCAGCTTTTTCATTTCCTAGTATATCGACATTTCATGGTACATACTCAAAATTTACTAAAATCCCCTGCTGTTTTATGTTTTTAACGAGATCAATATTGAATTAATTACATTAATTCTTTCACTTTTTCTAGTCTGTATTGATTGTAAAAGCGATGAGGTTTAGCTGTCTAATCAAACATATAACTGCAAGACAAACATTTTTACAAGGTTTGGGGAAATTAAATATATCCTCAAACAAAAAGTGATAGACTACTACAACCTAGCTCAGTAGCACGTAAAATCCACAAACTAGTACTGAAATACCTTACACAAATAGACAACATAAAACATTTAAAACAAATATCGCAAGGGAGTTAACACTTGTAAAGAAACACACAAAACCTACAAACTACACAACTATACAACTACAAGGCCCAAAGTCCGGTATAGGTACAATCTTCAGGATTCAACGGTCATGGACTGGTGATCATTCGGATTCAGGCTTTGTACACTGACTGTTCACTTCTGGAACTTGGCTAGGTATGGCAATGGGGATAAACAGATCTCGATAATTCTTTATACAGTGCAGCAGTCTATTCAACACTCGACGGCGGGTGGTAAGACTAAATACAATACAATCTCCTAATAACAACAACAACAACAACCGTACACCAGTAAAAACGACCCCGAAACAACAAGAATCCACAAAGTACACAACAACCTGTGAGAATTGAGGATTCATATAACATTATGCTGTAAAAGAGTGTAGGCTCATGCTAATTTGTAATGAAATGTATACAATTCAACATGAAGAAAAAAAAAATCTCACGCGTCTGAAAAAAAAGCAAGACGCGTTCGATTCCAACAATAGCCTATATCATTGCTGTTGTTCGTCATGATTTCATACTGAATCATTATTAGCCTTTACAAACAAAAATATACCTATGTTCTATTCGTGTATGAAAAAAACAGAAAGCACACATAAACACGCGCGCGCGAATATCATTTCCAGCACCCATACGTACTGTCCTACTTCACCAAATCTGTCAGTCAATCAATCAATCAACATTTATTACATACACTACACTACACATAACGAATTAGCATGTTGTTGACTAGCACTACGACTGTATATAAAATGCGTATTTTTTCCTCGAGTGTTACTTAAGGTCTTTTTGAGAAATATGGGTGGCCCTGAAAAGGGCCGTTTTTGTTATAGTAAACTTTCTTTCAACAGTTTACTTGGAGCTGGTGTACTTGGTGACAGCCTTGGTACCCTCACTGACGGCGTGCTTGGCCAATTCACCAGGCAGTAGGAGACGGACAGCGGTCTGGATCTCCCGACTAGTGATGGTGGACCTCTTGTTGTAGTGAGCGAGACGGGAAGCCTCAGCGGCGATTCTCTCAAAGATGTCGTTGACAAAGCTGTTCATGATTGACATAGCCTTGCTGGAAACACCAGTGTCGGGGTGCACCTGTTTCAGCACCTTGTAGATGTAGATGCTGTAGGATTCCCTCCTCTTCCTCCTCCTTTTCTTGTCGGTGCCACGGTTGGCCTTTGCCTTGGTGGCTGCCTTCTTGGCGCCTTTAGTTCCGGTAATCTTGGGTCCCATGTTGTAACTACTTGTATTACGACGAGTGTCGATACCAGTAATGATACGCACTCGGTTGTTGTTGTTGTTGTTGTTGGCAGTTTTTCGTCTCCGTGATTCCTCCCGTCGCCGGGCGGAATCCAATCGACGTACGTCGATTCTCTGGCGACGTGAGGGGGGTGCTCCCCTCATTGTTGGGAGTCATATTGAAAGTCTCTAGGTCTTGTTGTTTTGATATGACTCCCGGATCTAAAAAGTTTATTGGCCCTGTGTTATTCGTTTTCGCTTTCTTGGTCCGAGGAGTGTAGGCTTGTGTTTTGCTGTCGTTTCCACCAGTTATCAGTGCAGGTACCAAATCCAAAAACGGCCCTTAACTTATTTATTTATTAAATATATAAAGAAATTTTTGAAGTCCTTGTCTAATAGTTATTTGAATTAATTGTCAGTTGATAAGAAAAAGATAGGGGATATAATTATATATGTATATGCCGAAATAGAGGAAGGGGGCTCCTGGGCGGCGTGAGGTGCCTACTCTTATTATCGAAAACCACAGGAGGATCTTTAATGTGCGAGCTTGGACGGGTCTCACACAGGCCACCGTTTTAAGTCCCGTCCGCCGGACTGTGTTGTTAGTTTTTAGTAATGTGCTGGTGCTCACTATGAGTCCTTGCTTTTGCTCTGATCTGTACTTTCTACTTTCAACTGTGCTACTTTTCGTAATGTCTTTTCTTTCTGTACCTATCATATCCTTTCGCTAGGGTCGGTAGCAGTCCTTCGCGACTCGTATCTACAGTGCTTATTGTGCTGATGTTAGTTAGGGTTGGGGTGTTGTGGTCATAGGAGAGGTGTAGGGGAGGAGTGAGTAAAGAGAGAAAAAAAAAAAAAAAAAAAAAAAAAAAAAATTGTGCCGGCTTCGTTCCAACTACATCATGTTTCTGAGGAAAAAAAAAAAAAAAAAACCGTCAATGCGTGGGATCGAACCCCGATTATTGCTCGTACGTTGGTGGGGACACCCCCATTTGATAAGTGTACTTAACTTTCCATATATGGTTATATAGACCATATATGGCTAACGCTCGCACCTGGTCGAGGTCACCCAATCTCTCTGTACGGTTTTCCTCTTCTCCGTTCCCTTTCCCGCTCTTTCCCTTTCCTTCTATTAAAACCTGCCATTTCTTTTCCTTCCTTTTCCTTTTATCTTTACTTTCCCTTTTCACTCTCTCCCTTTACTTCATCCCTTCCCCTTCTTTCCTTTCTTAACCCAACCGCTGATTTCAACATATGAAAGGATATTTGGCCAGCAACACTTTTTTTTTTTTTTTTTTTTTTTTTATTATAATGATTATAGGAGGGTATAGGCATGATTGTGGTATGTGCAGAGAGGTTGAAGGTTAATGAGGGGGAGAGGGGTGGTGGTAGTGAAGATAGTGGTAGAGTGCTAATGGGGTAAGTTTTTTTTTTTTTTTTTTTTTTTTTTTGTTTTTTTTTTTTTTTTTTTTTTTTTTTTTTTTTTTTTTTTTTTATAGAGTGCTATTGGAGCGAAAAAGTTGAGAGATACTGCGGGGGAGATAAGATCAGGGGGACTTCTGGATACAGGGGGGACTTGATGTTGTGTATGATGATGTAGTGGTGTGGAAAAATAAAAAAAATAATAGTAGTAATAATAATTTCTCCTCAGCGCATTCCTTCTTACGAGACTTTGTAGTTTAAACCCTTCTGATACTGTAATATATGTGTTTTAGGTGATATTGAAGCGTTTGATGTTATGTATTGTGTTTGTGTGTGTTTGTGTGTGTTTGTATGTTCTTGTAGGCTTATGTTGTTGTGTGTTGTTCCTAGTGTCTTTTAATTGCTCGGTCACATTGTGTGATGTTTGTGTTTGTGTGTTAATTGTTGGTGTACTTGTTTGATGTCTAGATTGGTATATGGGGTGTTTTCTTGCGTGGTTGTTGCGTTTTGTTTCCTTACTATGTTATGGTGTTTGTTGTTTATTTGGCTGACGTGTTGTTTGTGTTTATGTTGTTTTACTTGTAGGTATGGGTTTAAATTATTGTGGATGTTGGGTATAAATATATGTGACTATACCTAGTACGATATAATTCAAGATGAAGACCGTCATGTTCGTGGGGAGTTCATATGTAAAAAGATTTGGTTTTTACGCTCAGAGGAATGGTTTTTTCCCGGGTTGGAAGATTATCTATCGGGGTTATGGAGGATTGACTTTACGCACTCGGCCGAGTTTTTCACTTTTATACCATAGCCGTCCCAGGTAGGATCAAAAATTCTTACATACATGCGCGCTATACAAAACCACTCGAACCTCCAAGTTGTCTCAGAAAACACCCCCTATTTTTCTCGCGCGCTACAATTTCGATCCGTAGTATAAAACGCTACACGGTGACGACTTGTTTTTCATTCTGTTGTAGCTCCGCGTAACAGTCACAAGCCGAACGCATCAACATGTCTGGACGAGGTAAGGGAGGAAAAGTTAAGGGAAAGGCAAAGAGCCGATCATCCCGTGCTGGACTTCAGTTCCCAGTCGGTCGTATCCACCGTCTGCTCCGCAAGGGAAACTATGCCGAGAGAGTTGGAGCCGGTGCCCCAGTTTACTTGGCTGCCGTCCTCGAGTACTTGGCTGCTGAAGTTTTAGAATTGGCAGGAAACGCTGCCAGAGATAACAAGAAGACCAGGATCATCCCCCGTCATCTCCAGCTGGCCATCAGGAACGACGAGGAGTTGAACAAACTGTTGTCCGGTGTCACCATCGCCCAAGGTGGTGTACTGCCCAACATCCAGGCTGTACTTCTGCCCAAGAAGACCCAGAAGCCCGCGAAGTAAACCGTTCCCGTGTACCTTGTACACCAACAGAAAAACGGCCCTTTTCAGGGCCACCCACTTTTCTCAAAAAGCGTCTCTTTGAATTCACTCGAAAAAAAAAGACATCCACGCAAATTCCTCATTTGGTGAGTTATTGCTTCATTCATTTCTTAACACTGTCAAGAACGTTGTATGATACACACAAGGAAAAAAAAAAAACCCAAAACAAATCACCGCATAGGATGACATGTAAAAAAGACATAGAACGAAACAGTTTATAGATAGGGTAGGTGAGCTGTAGCGAATCACAATAGTAAATGAATAAACTGTCGAGTGATCATGTTAGTGAGAGACAACACACACACACACATATATATATATGTACATTAAAATATTATACGGACGTGGTATTTATTTACTTACGTATACGTCTCTCTCTCTCTCTCTCTCTCTCTCTCTCTCTCTCTCTCTCTCTCTCTCTCTCTCTCCTTGTTTCTTTTTGGTCTTGTACAAAGTTAGCTAAGTTTTATATAACATCTGAATATCTTTTATGTGTTATAATAGTGTTATATTGTGTACATTGTATTCTTATGCATTTAACTAACAGGCTGCAAGTCTTAAAATGAATAAACAATACAACACAATACAATACAACAGTGAAAACTAGCACGTAGAAATCATATAATTTCTGCCTGTTACATGGTCAAGTCACTTTTTATTTTTGTGCTTTCTTTGTTTTCTGTCATTATTACCGTGAATATTTGTCATTACTTGCAATGTGTGATATAGAAATGTCCTGGGGGTAATTGAATTCCAACTCATAATTAAATGTTGACATGATAATTGGATAATTGAACACCAAGACAAGTCAGGTAGGATTGAAAGTTGGCGGAGTGAAATTGCCTGAGGGCCAATGAAGGTCTGTATATATCAGCCAATCAGACACGTTTTAACAAATCCAGT